AAGTTTATTTGTTTTTCAGAATTTCTTATTTTTGTTTAACGGTGATATGCAAACAGTAAGAAATCAAATTCTTATTAAAAATATTCTAAATTATATATACCGTCACCACATATTCAGAAATCGCTAAATTTTTCCTAAAATGTCAGTAAAACCTCGACTTTAAAAACTATATATTACAATAATAATATTTATTATCTCTGTGTAAAAATTAAATGGCAATGTGGCGACTAAGAGCAGCCACCACAACGCCTACGAATAGGCAACCAGGGCCGCAGCCGTGTACAACGCATAATGCACGGCGTCGCGATTTTCCCGAAAGCAGGCCGTTGCGGCAGGCAGCGCTTCAGCGCGCCGCCACTATGCGGCGCAGGTAAACGACCTGTGGCGCGGTAGAGAGTTTTGCGACTCTGCCTTTATAACCGGCTTATCAAAGTGTGGCTAATCATCCTCGCTCTTTCGAGTGCTAACAAGAGTACACTTCAGTATTGCGAGTAGCATCTGAGGTTCTCTACGCAGCATCATAAAGAGAGGAATATTAAAGCCATCCGGCACTAGACCCAGAACCCCCCGATCACCAGGGGATAACGGATTCACGGACCAGGTCTACGTGAAGGAGCGGCACGTGCAGTGGGACCTTCTCCCGTGGCGACTCATACCCGTCGACATCACCAGGAAGCGGCTCACGAGACCACCGAGGATCTTCCTCTGCCCCGCAGACATCCGGGTGTGGAGATATACTTCGCCGAGGGAGGATTTCACCGCTCTACCTCGTCTGATTTCACCGCTGCGACCCGGCTCCACGGAGTGTGCCACGCAGACCGTCCTGAGCAAGACCACCCGGAGCACCAACACTCATCAACCAGCGCCGGTCAACAGAGGGACGCAGTACGTGCCGATTACCCGGGAACAGGGATGCCAGGCCGATTCCGACTGGGAGGAACCGGAACATAGAGATCAAGCGACACAAACGGAGATCCCGGAGAAGAGTGATTCCGGCAAGGTCTGCTCCACTCCGCCGGTAAAGCAGCTCGCAGCAATCCACCAGCGCAAGAGCAAGCGGGCGCAGTCGGAGGTACGCGGGTCCTCAAGGCGGATTCACACCACTCGCTGCAAGCCACACCTTCAGTGGCAAGAGGGACCCGGCATTTAGCCGTCGGATACAAACGGCCCTTTTCAGGGCCCATATAATAAATCCAAAAATAACTGTGTATAAAGTACTGTACATAGCCTGTAAATACATCACGCAAGTTAACACGAGTTCACGACGTCTTATTCACCAGCTTAAGCCTCATCCACGCTGCTTACCACTAGCTGCTTATCTATAACCGCTGCAGAGTTCTTAACCGCCACAGGCAATAAGAACAAAAACTAATAAATTATTAATATCAGTTTTAAATAGAACAAAAATTAATATAAGTATTATTTTTTTAAATATTTTGTTGGTCATTTTCTGGTATTGAAAACGAAAGTGCTTTGCCAGTAAATGACCGACCGGTCAAATTTTGATAAGTCAGAAATTTATTATATCCAGTAAATGACCGCGGTATTATATTGAGCTTAAACTAGAAGTCAATTGTTATAAAGAATGAAAACTTTAGAGAATAATAAGAAAAAACAGTCAACTAAGTGTTCTAAAAATATGAAGACAAAGAAAACAAGTAATGTAATAAAAAAATCAAAAAGAAACTATCAAAGGATTCAGTATACGGAAGAAAGTCTGAGAGAAGCAATTGAAAAGGTTAGAAATAAAGTTATGAGTGCAAATAAAGCTTCAGTGCAATATAAAATACCAAAGGGAACATTAATAAACAAATTACACGAAAATGTGCCTACAATAAGAAAAATGGGACCACCAACCGTTTTATCCTGTGAAGAAGAGAATAGAATTAAACAGTGGATAATAGATAAGGCTTGTATTGGATATCCTATGCATCCTAACATAGTTAAAAGTGCTATAAAAAATGTTCTGGACAAAGCTCCACGTCCCAATTGCTTTAAAAATAACATGCCTGGTCAAAAATGGTTAAAATTATTTCTTAAAAGGCATCCAGAGATTGGCTTAAAATATGCAGAAGTGTTGTCTAGAAGTAGGGCTTCAGTTACTGAAGAAAATATTAGACAATGGTTTGCAGAATTAAAAACCTATTTAGAAAAAGAAAATGCTTCTGATATTTTAAGTAACTCTTCTCGTATCTACAACATGGATGAGACAGGGATGCAGTTATGTCCCAAAACTGGAAAACTATTAGGAGCAAGAAATAAAAAAAATATGTATGTTATTTCACCAGGACAAGAAAAAGAAAGCATAACAGTTCTTTGCACTTATAGTGCTGATGGTAGAGGAATTTGCCC